AAGATCAAGATTGGTCTATATCCAAGACAAAGACGGCAGAACTATCGCGAGCATCGCACTTGTTTCTACTGTAGAACAAGATGTCACATCAGAATCAATTGCTACTACTGGAAAAATTATCAGGTACCACCCACTCTAAGATGAAGGCAAGTCTGGAGAAAAAAAGATGTCTCGAGGTGTAATATGGCATACACTTCTGAACTGAAAGAAAGCAAACAACGGTTGCATTTTGACAGTGGATGCTCACGTCATATGACAGGAGATGTCAGTATGCTGTCTACATTCGAAGAAAATTTCAAAGGAGGGAATGTGACATTTGGAGATGGAAGAAAAGGAAAGATCTTGGACAAAGGAAATCTGGACGCATCAGGACTGCCCAAACTTACAGATGTCAATGTTGTCCAAGGACTCAAGACAAATCTCATAAGCATCAGTCAACTATGTGACTCTTGATTTCAGGTAAATTTCACTAAAGATGCTTGTGTTGTTACAAATTTTCTTGGAGATTGTGTGTTGACAGGAAAAAGAACTCCAAAGTAATTGTTACACTTGGGTAAATCCTGACGTGGGAAGTGCTTCACAACAGCTGACTCTGAACTCGAGTTATGGCATCAACGATTGGGATACATTAACACAAGGTCGTTGGTGAAGCTGTCAAGATCAAATGCTATACGAGGATTACCTGAGTTATCACAGCAGGTAACACTGGTGTGTAAAGCATGTCAACTTGGAAAGCAAAGAGACGGAGAGTCTTGGAGGAAAGAGGTATGTTTTTGTATGTGTTGATGATTTCTCACGTTTTACTTGGGTCAGGTTCTTAAGAGAGAAGTCAGAAACATTGGGTGTATTCGAACACTTATGGCTGCAACTCCGAAATGGAAAAGGAAGTCTTCAGAGAATTCGGAGTGATCATGGGCGTGAATTTGAGAATGAACAGTTTGTGGAATTCTGCAACAAATATGAGATTATCCACGAGTATTCTGCACCTAAAACTCCTCAACAAAATGGAGTTGTTGAAAGGAAGAATAGGACACTGCAAGAAATGGCGAGAACTATGTTACATGCAAGAAACATTGCAAAACGTTTCTGGGCAGAAGCGGTAAGTACAACATGTTACCTAGTTAACCGAGTTCATATCAGACCAGGCACAACCAAAACACCTTATGAGATCTGGAAAGGTAAGACCCCTCCTCTAAAGTTTGTTCATGTATTTGGTTGTCGATGTTTTGTGTTAAATGATCGTGAATATAGAGGGAAGTTCGATGCCAAAAGTGATGAAGGTATATTCTTGGGGTATTCAATGAACTCTGTTTCTTATCGAGTGTACAATTTGCGTACTAGAACGATTATGGAATCAGCTAATGTTGTTTTTTATTAGGAACATAGTGCAGAGCAGGGTGAAGTCCCGCCGAAACTACTTCAAGATGTTCCCAGTGAGCACTCAGTAGAACAAGAACAGAGTGATGATGCAGAAGTTGAAACCAAGAACGAGGAAGAATTGGAAACTGTTCTCACACCTACAGTTCACAGGAATCATTCTGAAGGAGATGTGATTGGAAATGTCCTCGATCCTATGCGTACAAGAGGTAAATGAATGAATTATCAAGATATGATATGTTTTGTATGTTTTTCTTCGCAGAATGAACCATCCCGGGTGGATAAAGCATTGAAGGACGAATTCTGGGTGAGGTAATGCATGAAGAACTGGAGCAATTCGGGAGAAATGATGTGTGGTATCGTATTCACCGTCCAGATCATACTAATGTGATAGGAACGAAATGGATTTTCAAGAACAAGACAAATGAATCGGGAGAAATAGTTTGGAATAAAGCCAGGTTAGTTGCTCAAGGATACACACAAGTAGAAGGTATTGACTTCGATAAAACTTTTGCACCCGTTGCTCGTCTTGAGTCTATTATATTATTGCTTGGCATTGCATGTTTTCTTGGTTTTAAGTTGTTTCAGATGGATGTCAAGAGCGCCTTCTTAAAATGGTGTGATCCAAGAAGATGTGTACGTCGAACAACCAGCTGGTTTTGAGGATCCACACTTTCCGACTCATGTGTACCGTTTAAAGAAAGCTCTCTATGGGTTGAAACAAGCTCCTCGTGTATGGTATTGAAAGATTAACCAGTTTTCTACTCGAGAACGGCTACCAAAGAGGGGGAGTAGACAAAACACTTTTCATCCATAATTCGGACGATGTACTATTAGTAGTACAAATTTATGTGGATGATATTGTGTTTGGGTCTACATCTCAGTCAAAAGTTGACTGGTTTGTTCAGACAATGACTTCTGAGTTTGAGATGAGTATGTTTGGAGAACTCAGTTACTTTCTGGGATTACAAGTCAAGCAAGACAAAGATGGAATCTTTGTTTCTCAAGGGAAGTATGCTCGGAATCTGGTGAAAAGATTTGAACTCGACACGTGCAAATCAGCACGTACTCCCATGTCCACAACCACTAAGTTGACCAAAGATGATGAAGGAGAAGATGTTGATCCAAAACTCCATAGGAGTATGATCGGGAGTCTACTGTATTTAACGGCAAGTAGACCTGACCTGTGCTTGAGTGTGGGCGTATGTGCAAGACATCAAGCAAAACCTAAGAAGTCTCATCTCCTGGCAGTAAAAAGGATAATCAAATATGTCAAAGAGACAGTTGATTATGAGCTTCATTACACAAAGGATACGAGTATGCATCTAGTAGGATACTGTGATGCAGATTGGGGAGGAAACACGGATGATCGAAAAAGCACATCAGGAGGGTGTTTCTTTTTGGGTAACAATCTCGTATCATGGCACAGCAAGAAACAAAATTCAACGTCACTATCTACTGCTGAAGCCGAGTACATCGCACTGGGAAGCTGCTGTACTCAACTAATATGGATGAAGCAAATGCTGACTGATTATGGAATTGATACTCACTCGTTTACAGCTCATTGTGACAACACAAGTGCAATCAACATCTCTAATAATCCAGTACAGCATTCACGAACAAAGCGTATAGAGATAAGACATCATTTCCTCAGAGAGCAAGTGGAGAAAGAGAGTCTTCTGATTGAGTATGTACCCACTGAACATCAATTAGCTGATATATTTACTAAACCACTTGACATGAATAGATTTACCTGTTTGCAAAAATCTCTCGGTATTGGAAATTTTTTATTTTGATCACTAACTGAGTTTGTTCTGAATGTTTAAGTGAAATAGTGTTGAAAGGGCGGTCAGTGGTACCTCACAAAGTTGTCAGGTGCACTTCAGATATTGGTAATACGAAAAATCCCCTGGTACTCCTCTGTCAGCATGCTCTCAGTAAAAAGTGAGTGAATGTTGGTTTTATGTTCAAACTTTGCAATTTATAATAAAAAAAGGAAAGAAAAAAGGCTGATATGAGTAGATTATCAAAATCGCTCGGGTCTAAGTTAAACCACATACAGTCCATTCGACGGTCTAAGGTCAGATGATACTCATTCATCATACTCCGCTGTAAGTTGATACTTTACAAGAGTATATCTCAGTGAGATAGGCTGGACTTAAGTGGAGAAATAGTATGATTGGACTTAACGTCCTAGAAGTTCAGGCGGATTAATTACAAGAAATATTTGTATTCCTATTGAGTGAAGTAAGCACTGGGTGAAGCATGAGGTGTCACTGACTCAACTGGATGCACTGCGATCTGAGGTACAAAATAATAAACTCCTTTGGTGTTAAAATCGTAATTTTATTTCGCATTGCGTAACGGATTTCTGTTTTAAATGTTTTTAGACGTTATTTCTCGAAAAGATTAATATGAGTGGTTGAGTAAATAGTCGGTTATGGGGAAGTGGGATCCGAAAAATCAAGGATTTTCCAAACAAATCCAGTGACTCAAAATAAAAAGAGGTGTCTCTCTCTCTATCCCTGCGAAGTTCAGAAGCTGAAAAAACTCTAAAATTGAGAAGTTGAGCTGCAAGAAGAGTGTGAGGTCCAACAGAGAGTCACGAAGAGAGAGTAAAATCCCTAGATTCAGTCTCAACGTGGATCCAAACGAAAAGAGAGAAGAAACAGGTGAGGATCATCACCTAGAATCAGAGGAAGGTTCATTTGGAGAAGGAAAATCGAGTGAACCCAGGAAAGAAGAATCTTCGAACTCGTTTGTGAGTGTTGAAGAAGATCCAGAAGAAAACCCATAAGAAGAATCTCGCAGAAATACGAGGGAGATTCTAAGGACTAGCAAGGAAGATACAGTGGGCAATGAAATCCAAGAACTCGAAAGCCCAGAGGAGAAGATCCAAGAAACAGACGCGGAGATCCCAGAAGAACCGCAGGAAGGAAACCCTAGGATCGAAGATGAGTGCAAGGAAACTGAGGATTTACAAACCTCTCTGCCTCTAGAACAAATTGATTCGGGTAAACTTGATGAACTCTTTACTTACTCTACTAGAGATATAGAGGAAAGTTCGGATAGTGAGCCTAGGTTGATAAGAAAAAGAACAAGAAGGCGTGTAGACTTTGATAAGGATGTGAGTGTTGAGCATGTAGAATCTGGGAAGGATGTGGGTGATACATCCAAACAGATGAAGGAATTGCCCTCGGTTCAATTAGGGCAAGAGAAATCGAAGGATAGTGAAATCGAAGTGGTTGCGGACTCAGCAACAGAGACGGAAGTGCTGAAATCAAAAGAGGATGGTTAAGCTGAAGTGGACTCAAGGGCACAAAAGGTTGAAAGCAAGAAACATAAGGCAAAGATTGCTGAGAGAAAGGGAATCTCGAGTGGTAGCTGAACAGAGAGCACGAACTAGATCTCAGGTGGCTGCAAAACCAGTGGTGACTGCAAAAAAGTCCTCCTAAAAAGGTTCAAAGGAAGACAAAATCACAACCTGCCTTGGTGATTACTGAACAAAAGACCCCTAAGAAACCTGAGAAAAGGAAGGCTGAAACATCAAAAGATATGCCCCGAGCAAAATCCTGCCCCGGGCAAAATCCTCAAAGGTCTCTAAGGAATATCAAAAAGAGAAGATGAAGGGGAAGAGAAAAGTTCAGGAAGAAAGTGAGATACCCAGTTCTCCTTCTGGGTCAGAAGATGAGGAATTACTGGCGAGCCTGTGCATGTCTCATCACTTTGTTGATGAGAAATCTGAACAAAGGTTCAATGAGATAAAAAATCTCAACACAATTGTTGAAAGAAACGTGAATGTCAGCAATCTCAAGGAGCAGGGGATCTGGGACTTCCTGGAATGTCTAGGCTTAGGAGAAACAACCACCTATGCATGTCCACACAGCAAAATTCTGGTCAAAGAATTTTATGCAAACCTCACTAAGAAGATTGTAAAGGCAGGAGATCCAATGTACCATCGGGTGTACATAAGAGGGAAGATACTGCACTTTTCTCCAGCAGTAATCAACAAGTTTTTGGGCTTGAAGAACACAGTTGTGACAATCATGGACGAGTTGGACAGAGAGATTGACCAGAAAGAGCTGGAGATAGCGCTCACTGATAGCTATGATGAAAAGAGAAAAGGAGAGATAGCTCCAGTAGAGCTGAATTTCGAGTCCTCAGTATTGTTCAAGATTGCCAGATCAAACTGGTTACCCACTCAACGATCAAGTCTGATTCACAAACGGATGGCAGTACTCATCTACTGCGTTAAGAAGGGGATCAAGATCAACTATGGAAACATGATCTTCGATCATATTCTGGAGAGAGCAATGAACTTCAGAGCAAGGTTCAGACTACCTTATCCCTGCTTAATTCAAAGCATCCTCACTAAGCAGTGCCCTAAACTGGTTGATCCCAAGGAGAATACCGAGGTTATTCAAAAACCCCTTGTGGTTGAGACTAGGATCAAAAGGAAGAAAGGAAAAGAAAAGAAGGATATCAAGAAGATGCTGGAAACACTCAAGGATGCAGAAAAAGCACTGATAAAGATGGAGCTCGGATTAAGGAAGCAGGCAACACAATGTCAGCAAATCCGTGCAACAGTTCATGAATATGTCGAAGCAACTCTGAGTAATGTGTTCATTATTCATTCAGGTACTCCTCACCTTGATATTATTGTTTTTGATTATTTTATACATGTCCACAGGGGGAGAAATTGAGGAAGCAGAAGGAGACCTCGATTCAGAAGAAGAAGACTCAGAGGAGGAGGAAGAAGGAGATGATTCTGAGATGCCTAAACCGACTTCTAAGAAAGCGGAGGCATCAAAGAAATCAGGAACGAGCAGGAAGACTAGAAGAGCCAGGAGTCCTTCTGATGACTCATCACTTCGTTTTTTAGTTTCGTTTGCTTATGATCTGAACTTTTATACTCTTGATGATTCTATGTGGTGAACTGAAGTGTTATGCTTGTTTTGGTAACCGTGTGCTTTGATGACTCTAGCTTGTCTTGAACTTTGATGAAATCAGTGGAAGGGTTTGCGTTTGTGTGCATGATCTGAAATAACCAAAAAGGGGGAGATTGTTAGTGCAATTATTTGCACGTTACTTTGGTTGTTAAAAGGTTGTTGCAGGTTCAACAACTTATGAAAGATTTCAGGAGAAGAATCCGGCGAGATAGCACTCGAGCAAATCTGAGATGTAACTGACGAGATTCAGATAGAGTCAAAGGTTGAAGAGATAGAGTCAAAAACAAGAGATAAGATGAGATCTTGAAGATAGACTCGAAATCAGTAAGAATCAAGGAGAAGTCTATCAAATCAATTCGTGGAGATCTAAGGCGAACTGGAGGAGCCGATATAAAGGAGACAAGCTGCATATCAGTTCTCACGGAGAGCATGAGCTTATTTTCCTAGTCCATTCTGTTCTTTGAGTGGTTACTCATTATTTGGTGAGTGTAAGTCTGAGAGGGAGACCGATTGGGCAAATCTCTTTTCTCTGGTGAGTGATTTATGTTGTGATGTTTTTTAATCAGTAGAATTCATTGTGAGAGGGGAAGAAACTCAGGGGGATTTTCGGGTGTATAGTAAGTACGATTCTTACAACAAAAAGTGAGTTGTACTTGACTATCTTTCTCAAGTGAATAAAACTGATTGGTTTTCCGCATTAATCTTTGAGGGTTCAACTTTTTCAATTTTAAAATATTTATCCAATACAAATCGGATATATATATCAAAATCAAATTATCTATCATATCTGATCCGATCCGTGTTTTTGAATAATATTTTTAAATAAATGAAGGTTTAGAAGGATTAATCTTTACAAGTTTTTCATGAAGATTCAATACATATTTTCTATATATGGAAATTTATGATTTTTTTATCTTTTGAATATGAATTTTATGATATATAATCTTTTGGATTTTGAATTTTTAATATGTTTGAAGGGGTAGATTATGATTGTATTTGTAATTAAGTTGATTTAGGATATTTATATTATGAACTCCGAAATTTGAATATCGTTTACTTTGAATAGATTATATATTTTATATGCATTTGAATTTTTTTTGTAATTTTATTTTTCGATTTTGTCATGTTTTAAATTGGATAGGGGGTATTCGAAAATATTAATATTTTTTTAGATATTTAAAATTATGGATATTCAAAATCATAAATCAAATACGGATAATAAAATAAAATATTTGTACGAATTAGATACGTATACCGATATTTAAAAAATCTAATATCCTATCTATACTCACCCTAATTATATAATAGTATACGCTACTATTTTATTGAATATCGCCTTTTTTTATAGAATTTCTTTTGAATTCAATCTTTATATTATCACACTACAAGAAAATCTTAATATAGCGACGGAATTTGCGACGGAACTTTTCCGTCGCAAAGAAATTACGACAGAATTCGACGAATTTGCGACGGAATGCGAAAATTTTTATTCTGTCGCAATTAGTCGCAAAATCCGTCGCAAATTTGCGACGGAATACGACGGAAACGTTGTCGTCGCAGAACCAAACATTATTTGCGACAGAAATTTTAAAATTGCGGATTTGCGACAGATTTGCGACAGAAATTTCTGTCGCAAATCTGTCGCAAATTCCAAAAATAAATAACTTTAATTTAAAAATAAATAAAATTAATATTTGCGACAGAAATTTCTGTCGCAAATCCGTCGAAAAACAAAAAATAAACCGCGAAAATTTGAAAATTTTCATCGAAAATAATAAAAAAATGAAATTATGATTTGCGACAGAAATTTCTGTCGCAAATCTAAATTTTATTTTTTTCCGCTATTTTCGATGAAAAATTTTAAATTTTCGCGGTTTATTTTTCGTTTTGCGACGGGTTGCGACTGCAATATCCGTCGCAACACTTAATAAAAGCTGCGACTTCGTCTTTCTCCTCCAGACTTCGAATTTTTTTTTATGAATATATGTATGTATATGAATATATGTGTATGTATATATATATGTATATAAATTTATGTGTATATGTATAATTATGTGCATATGTGTAATATATATGTATGTGTATGTAAATTTATGTGTGTATATATGTGTATGAATGTGTGTTTATGTATGTGTATATGTGTATGTATATATATGTCTATATGTAAATGTATATATGTATGTGTATATATATAAATTTATGTGTATATGTGTAATGTATGCATATATGTGTATGTGAATATACGTATATGTGTGTATATGTATAATATATTTTTTATATTTTTTTTAAATTAAAAAAAATATTTGCGACGGATTTTTCTGTCGCAAATCCGTAGTAAACGTAGATTTTTTTTTTAAAAAAAAAAATATTAAAAAATATATTTGCGACAGATTTTTCTGTTGCAAAACTCGGATTTTGTCCGTCGCAACTTTGCGACAGATTAACGACCGGCAAACTTTTGCGACAACAATATATGGACAGAATTGATTCTGTCGCAATCTGTCGCAAATTTGTAATTGCGACAGATATTCTTTTGTATTTGCGACAGATTTTTCTGTCGCAAATTTTAATGTTTCTTGTAGTGTCATATATAATCTCAACAATCAATTTTTAGTTTTTAAGATTTATATCAACTATCCATTTATAATATTCGTTTTCAATAAGTTTTTAAAGATAAAATATCCAAGGAGAACATATCTTATAACCGAATTATAGAATGTTTTATCATCTTCTTCTTGTTTTCGTTTTGACTTAAGAAGTTATCCCATGCTAAAAAAATCAACGTTAATTACAAAAAAAAAAGATATACGTCAAATTTTGTTTTTGGTACAGCGATCATAGACTGTGTGGCCTTTCGATGTTTGGTCGGAAAAGCTAATGTATTGATTCTACCAAAACAAATTCATCGAAACAAAATTATATAAATATATATATATATATAATTAATATGATTTGAAAACTTACTAGATATACTTTTTAATTAATTTAATCGAATATAAACTGAAAATAAAAAACTATTCAGTATTTTTCTAAATAAATAATAACAATAAAATTAAAATGCGAAACATGTGTCTCTAAGTAAAAAAATATTTCCTTGTAAAAACTAAAAAATAGTAAAATTTCGTTTATACAACATTTTTTTTAATAACTTTGTATTTCCAATTGGAACAAATACTTTACAAACGGATCTATACGGATTTTTCGGACGAGGCACACATAGGGGAAGTTCCACTCCGGACTGAACACACATATCACAGACGATCCACGGACCATTTTATCCCGACATACCCGACACGAACACCGGACAACCCGATACGGATCCATCCTCGAACCAACGACCCAAAGATCACGAGAAACCACGGATGAGGAATCACGCACGTCCCGGACACGGGAAATGGTCTGCTCTATCCGACAAGAGCCGAGAAGCATTTTCGGGCTTGTCCGATACTCTTCTTGCTTTGGGCTCGATCCAAAACCCATTTTACTTTGTCTAGGTTTGTTGCATCTTTGTTTTTGGTAAGTAGAATTTGATTACTTTATTTTAAGAAAATTAAGACAACGGAGATAATCAAGAAAGCGTATTGTGACTTTCTGGCTATAAATTAAGGCCGACAATTGAAACCGATTGTTAGTGGTTACCGTAAATATGAAGAAATATCTTCTAGATTTGATTTGCTATAAATTCATTTCCTATTTCTCCTCATACTGAACGTGTATATAACTTTGTGTATCACTTGTGCTAATAATCAATCAATAATATTTTCCAAAGTCTATCATGGTATCAGAGTCTGTCAAGAGATCCATCCTATAATGTTGTCGGATGCAAATGGGATTTCAGAACTAAACGTTTATCTGATGGATCTCTTGACAGGTACAAAGCGAAACTTGTTGCTAAAGGATTTCATCAAAGACCGGGCATCGATTATAGTGATACATTCAGTCCGGTCATCACGCATGCAACGATCCGAGTTGTCCTTAGCATTGCGTTGACAAGAGAATGGTCTCTTCGACAACTAGATGTGAATAATGCATTTCTCTAAGGAACACTAGACGATGATGTATATCTCTCTCAACCTCCGGGATTCGTTGACAAAGACAAGCCCTCCTACGTATGTAAACTCCACAAGGCACTATACGGGCTCAAACAAGCTCCTCGAGCGTGGTACACTGAACTCTGTCGCTTTCTTCTTCAATCGGGATTTGCCAATGCCGTATCCGACACGTCTCTCTCTTCATGCTACACCAAGGCGAGGTTGTCATCTACATTCTTGTTTACGTCGATGATATCATCATCACCGGGAATACTACATCGGCTATACAACAGTTCATTGATATCCTTGCTAAGCGATTCTCCATCAAAGATCTCGGAACTCTAACCTATTTTCTCGGAGTCGAAGTGTCACGCTCGGACAAAGGAATCTTACTAACTCAAAAGCGGTACATCTCCGACATCCTCAGTCGCCATTCCATGGCTGCCGCGAAACCAGTAGCCACGCACCTTCCTTCCACCTCTATGCTCAGCCGCAGTTCGGGAACACCTTTGGACGATCCTGGCGAATTTCGGCAAGTATTAGGGAGTCTCCAATACTTACTTTTCACAAGACCGAACATTTCATATGCGGTGAACAAACTTTCTCAATATATGCACAGCCCTACATCCGATCATTGGCAAGCCTTAAGCCGCATCTTTCGATATCTCAACGGAACACGAGGTCATGGTATATTCTTATCTCGCTCCTCTCCTACAGCTTTGCATGCTTTTTTGGATGTCGATTGGGTAGTGATCGCGATGATTTTACATCAACGGGAGCATATATTGTCTATCTTGGCCGGAATCCCATCTCTTGGTCATCCAAGAAACAACGATTTGCGGCGAAATCTTCTACCGAAGCAGAATACAAATCCGTCTCCTCTACCGCCTCCGAGGTACAATGGTTACTCTCTCTCCTCTCGGAACTCCGAATCTCCCTGCCTTCAATGCCGGTT